GGAGCATTATCCTAAAATTCCAGCCCCCTAGCTTTCGTGTTCCCAAAATAATAATTTTCCTCGCCAAAACTTTCAGGGGGCCGTACGTAATGAACGGAGAGCGCGCGGAAGGGCGAAGTTTAAATTTGCCAGATCGTAGGGGGCAGAGCACATTTCCTTAGCATTTCAGCTTCCCAGCTTTCGTAGCTCCTGAGACAGCAAGTTTCTCAGTCAAAACTTTCACAGGGTCGTACATGATACCCAGGGTACATGAAGGCTGAATTTATGTTTGCTGTGTCGCACGTGTGCAGGATACGTTGCACTAAAATTTCAGCTTCCTAACTTCTCTGGTTCCCGAGTTGAAAGTCCCCGATGAAATGTACGCGAGACACACACGCATAACGCACACACATAACGCGCACATACACACATACACAAAAAGAAAAACATACAGACAGGGTTTAAACAAAATGCGTTTTGTGCAGCTGTTGCAGCAGAAAACGCAGAAAAACGCACATTGGCAAGAAGCTGTGTGTGTGTGTGTGTGTGTGTGTGTGCGTGCCGGTGTGTTTGCACTTTTTATATTCACCCATTTTCAACTCGAGAACAAGAAAAGCTAGAAAGCTGAAACTTCGGCAGTATGTGCCTTCTCCCCGTACAACCCTCCCATTTCATTATTATCATTCGCGTACGCTCGAGTCCCACGTTCGGACGCCTCAAAAAAATACAGATTTTTTGGTGGGCAATTGATTTCGGGAACAGAAAAGCTGCAAGGCTGAAATTTTCAAGGGATGTTCCCCATCCATATACTACTTAAAGATTTCAAATATGTGTGGCTCTGACATGCCGGCAAGTTAAAGTTTTGGCGAAAAAATCATTCACAAAAACCCGTCATTTTCAAATCACTGGCGACACGCAGCGGGCGGGCCCATGCGATCATACATTTTTTCAGTATTTCGTGCTGTAATGAGATCGCTTAGAAACCTAATAGCCAAAAATGTGTGACACACTGTTCCTTGAAGTCCGAAAAGTTAATTGTCTATGCTGTAGTTGGGTAGGGAACATTTCCTTAAAATTTCAGCTTCCCAGCTTCCTGGTCCCAAGTTAGCAGTTCTTTCCGCCTAAAATTTTCACGGGGCTGTACACGAGAATCGTACATATCTGAGGGCCAAATTTGGTATTTTTAGCTTTCACAGAGGCTGGAAACGTCCCCTTAAAATTTCAGCCTCCCACCTTTCCTGGCTTCCAAAATTAGTTTCGCGCTAGGAACTCTAACGGAGCCGTACGCGAGAACCACGCGTACCTTGGAACTGAATTTGAATTCTTTGAGTTCCAGATGGACGGAGGAAACAACTCCGTAAATTCAGCTTTTTAGCCTTTCTGGTTTCCGAATTTGTGGTTTCCCCGCTAAAACTTTCATCCTCTCGTAAGCGGGGCCCAAAATTACGTGAGAGTTGGTGCCGCGGTCCGGAAGTGGCACTTGACTGAGGAACATTTAGGCAAAATCTTAGTGCCGGAGCTTGATTGGGTGCAGAGTTGAAACACCCGGACAGACGCACACACACCCACACACACACATACACACACAGTTTGCAGTTTGCGTATAAGCTAAAACGCATAAAAAACGACCGTTAAACGAAAATTGATCATTTTTATGCGTTTTTGCATAATATGCAAAAACACATATTGTGACGACCCCGGTGTGTGTGTGTATTTGTGTGTGTGCGCCTGTATGGGTATTTCAATTCGGCACCCAAGCAAACTCCGGCGCCAAAATTTTGCGAGTGAGTTCCCCCGCCAAGTGCCACCCCAGGATCGCGGTACCAACCCTTAAGCATGTCTAGGCCCCGTGTACGAGCGCCCCAAAGTTTTTGCGGGAAAACCGCTAACTCGTGAACCAGAAAAGCTAGAAAGCTGAAATTTTAGGATGTTTCTAGTCCATGTAGAATTCAAAGACTTCAAATTCAGCCCCCGGGGGTTCGTGGCTCCCGCGTACGGCCCCGTGAGGGTTCCTGGCGCGAA